ACGCCTCCCTCATGGACAGCCTCGATGCCACAGGTGCATGTATACACACGTACCACCTGTATGTGCCAGTGTGCAATTCTTCAGGGCTCCTGGGGACACACATCACCCTCCCCAGGGCAGCTGCGGTGTGGCTCAGTGGTGAGCACTGGTTTAGCATGCACCAGGCCTGGGTTCCACCCCTGGTACCCAGAACCAGGGGTCTTAGGGCTCATGGCCTGCAGGCTCCTGAACTGGTGACATGCACTGCCCAGGCCCCTTCCGAACAAGTATGGGACAGTATGTGACCTGGGCATGTACCACACGGTGCACAGCTCTGTGTGTGTGTGTGTGTGTGTGTGTGTGTGTGTAAAGTTCGTGTGCAGCTTTTATTTTGGTGGTACCAGGGATCGAACTCAGGACCTTGTGCTTTCTAGGCAAGCACTTATTCTGCTGAGCCCCCAGCTAAATGTTTATGTGGTGCCTCTGTGCATTTCAGGCTCAGGGAGGACACATGTGACCTACGTGTAATCAGCACATGTGTGTGGAGCATGCTGTTGTCACGTGCACAGCCATGACCACGCGGGCACGCAGAGGGAATGAGCTGGTAGGAAGACTGTGGAATTGAGCAGAGCCAGACTTCAGGGCCTGCCTGGCTCTGCGCTGTGTGATCCAGGCCGTGTTCCGGGAGTGGTGTGCACAGGGAGGGCAGTGGTGACAGCGCGTGTGTGTACATGTGGGCCTGCGCGCTGTGTGCAGGCTGAGGTGCACATTTGGGGCGCAGGCCTGCACTTCGGCGTGTGTGCACCGGGTGGAGGGGCCGTGCCCCAGACGCCCTTGGGGGCCGGCCCTGGTCCGGAGCCTTGACTGTCAGGAAGGACTCTGGCTGTCAGGCCAGCTGCGAGTGAGGGGTGCCCCCGCCTGCGGTGATGGAGCCCTGGCTCCCCCACCAGGGCTGCCAAAATACATCCAGACAGGGTGTAATTACCGGCACTTAGCGCGGCCATCACCCCCCTCGCCGCTGCGCGTGACACACGACCCGTCAGCTTGGCGTGCGCACCATTAAGGGGCTCATTAGCATCCCGGCTCAGAAGCAAAATTACCCGCACTGCTCATTTCGAGATGTCATCAATTTTAATTTAGGGCCCAAAGATAGTACAATGGGAAGGCCCTGCCTGCCGGCAGCGCAGAGAGCGGAGGCGGGGAGGCCGGGTGAGGCAGAGGGCCGAGGTGGTGGGGGAGGGGAGGGAGGGAGACATCCCCTCCCCCCAAGGCCCTTTCACCCCAGAAATCCTGCAAGGTCCACTTTTGCCATCTCCTCTACAGATGGGGAAACTGAGGCAGAGGCATTCTGGCACACAGCAAGCCCACCTTAAGTGCAGGTCTGGCTGCGTTTGTTGTTCTCTGCTCTCCTGGACCAGGGGCTGAGGCCCTGGGGAAGTGCCTCCCGGGTACCAGCCTCGCACACCATGGCCCTGCGGTGACACCCATTCTGGCTCAGGCCAGCCCAAAGCTGGGTGCCTCTAGCCTAACCGGGTGCTGCTACGCTCAGGTCAAGACCTCTGTCTGGCTTTCAAAGGGCCTCAGGGGGCTCTCACTCTTCCCCCCATTGTCCGAATGAGTGGCTGGACGGGGAGCACAAGTTGCTTACTTCAATGTGTCTTCAGGAGTACGAGCGTGAGTGTGCCACAGATGTTTGTTGAATGACTGCGTGACTGAGCACACAGACAAACGAGCTGCCTGTGGGTCCCTCCAGGGACAGAAACCTGGATGGGTCCCTAGTGCCCCCTGGGCTTGGTGGCCACTGACAGCGGCATCCACACTCCTGGCTGGAGCAGGGCCTCGCACGCTCCGCGCCCCTAGGCTGAGGGGGAGTTTCCACACTGGGCTGCAGGGGACGCCCTTGTGCAGCAGTGGGTGCCACTGTCCTCCTCAGCAGCCCAGCCAGTCTGCCCTAACTCACAGCAGAGTTCAGGCAAGCCCCTGCAGCCCATGGGCCTCAGTTTCTCCAAGTGTAAAGGAGGAGGCTTGTGACAGGCCACAGCAAGGGGGCCAGGCCAGGCTGGGAAAGAGGGCACTGCCAACCACAGAGCCACCCTCAGCCTCTGGTCCGGGCGGGAAGAGAAGGGGCCCTATCCGGAGCTGAGACAGGGCAGGCGCTGCTCCCCAGCCTCACTGAAGATGGACTGCTGCCTTAATCACTCTGGAAAAGAACCCCAAGCCGATATAATATTATAATTAATTAATTCACTAAAAAGGTATTAAATTCCTCTCCCCCCTGTGGATATTATCTGAATTCATTGACCTTTAGAAAAATCACGCTCTAATTGTAACCGGGTCCAAAAGCATTTGCAGCCAGCCCCTTTTACATTAATAATATCTTCCCAGACTCGGCTCTGGTGGCTTAAATATTGTATAAATTCCACTGGCCCCGTGGACAAGAAAACCAAAGAAGCAGACGGGGCTGGGAAGGGATAGGAAGAGATGGGGCCCTGGGAGGGATCAGGGCACCAAGGGCTCTGAGTGGCCCTGCAGGCCAGCAGGTGTCTGGGGGAGCCCAGGGGAGCAGGGGTGCTAAAGCTGGGGTGGATTTCTAGGAGGCTGTGGGTGGAGAGCTCGTAGTGTGTGTTCACGGCCCTAAGTGATAAAGGATCTCTGATTTTGAAGAGCAGAGACAGACATAGACAGGGAAAGAGAGAGGGGTGCCTTTTACAGATGGGAAGGGGACCAAGCAACAGACGAGAGGGAGGACAGGAAAGGCATGAAGGAGCCGACACAGGTGACGCATGTCACCAACCCCCAGGGCTAAATGCCATGCCTACGTACTGTGAGCACGGACTAATACAATTCAAAGCAAATTTTAAAAATTTCTGTCTCAAATATGAGTAAAAAATAAAAGAAGGCAGGGTGGTGGGATCCAGCCAAGTTGCAGGCGGGGTGTTCTGAAGGCCCCACCCCCTGCGCAGAGGATGCAGGGAAACCCAGACAGCCTGCCCGGAGGTGGGTCCTGAGTAAGCAGTGGGCGCAGAGGGACGCAGGACCTAGCTCCCAGGGCAGCAGAGCCAGGGCACGCCTGCATCCTCCACCCCTCCCCACCCCCACCCCGAGACCTGGCTCCTGCACTGGGCTCAAACAGGCCTCCTCCCACTCCTCTTATTTAAAGGAATTCTCAGGTGGGGGAGTGGATGCCAGTAATCAATCCCAGCACTCTGGGAGGCTGATGCAGGAAGGTTGCAGATGGGAGCCCAGCCTGGGCAATTTATCCAGACCCTGCCCCAAAATAAAAAGGAAAAAA